TGTAATCGATCTGATTCCTATGTATACTATCAGGTGAAATCCATGTGTATAACCTACGTTTATGTTTCTTATAAAACGTATTTGCAATGAGTAGGTCATTGATTATGCAAAATTCAATCATTCTATCTCCAGCTTCATTTCTCTCACCAAGTCCATGTTTTCTAACTACTGATTCTACTTCTCTATTCCCACCTTTTGCATTCCAGTCACCCATTATTATCAAAATATCTTGATTGCATGTTCGATCGATCTCCGACTGTAAAAGCTGGTAGAAATCAGTGCTTGGTAGAGAAATTTAAATTAAAAAATTATTACCCAATTTTATATTTAAACCTCTATCCTTTTTTTTTTTAAGTGTCGAGATGTGAGAACCAGAGAAGTTGGAATCCAAGAAATTCATCACAAAGTACGACCATACCAGGTTAGTTGGTTTTGTTGTGTTTGGTTTGGTTTTTTTTGTTGTGGGTTTGTTGAGTTTTTTTGTTGCTTTGTTTGTTTTGTTTTTTTGTGGAGGAGAATTTGCTGGTTGGGTATTTGGGTTTATTTTAAGATTTTTTTTTTTTTTTTTGTGGAGGAGAATTTGCTGGTTGGGTATTTGGGTTTATTTTAAGAAAGAGTTTGTGTCCTGTTAACGAGTACACTGAGCAGAGAGTAATTTTGCATCACTTACTGATCCCAAGATAGGGAACCCAAATACGCAGTGAATGAATTCTAAAAGGGGCGGATTAGGAGAACCACATCTAATATTCATTCTTTTTTTTTCCAAATTTTTATTTTCTTATTTGTGTGTGTGCGTGTACCGTCAAATCAGATCTGACTGATACAGGAGGAGATTGTCCCTCCTTTCCCGGCAGAGCATCTGGTGGATTCGAACCGTGTTCCTCTGGGATTGCAGTGCAGCTTCTTGCCACTAGGCCACCAGAGCTCCCCCTAATATTCATTCTTGACCATCGCTACCCAATGGAACTTCTGTCTTCTTGGAAATACCCTGTTCCATATGATAGTCACGGAAAAAAAACGCATACTTGAAATGTGGCTGATGAACTGTAGAACCACATCTTTCCTTTTACTTAATTTTATGAGTTCGAATGTAAATTGTTATATGTGACTGATATTAATCCTTTGTGTAGAGTATGATCTGATTACCCCTTAGTATGTAATTGTTAGACTATTAACCACTAATGTTAATCAGAGGAATACTTTAGTCCATGTCAACAAGGATTCCACAAAAATTAACCCTAATGTATTCATTGTTTATATTATTCTTTTCATTGTATATATTAACTTCTATGCAACTATATTAGTGTGCCAAAGCAGCAACATTTTTGTGATTTTTAATTCCCTTGAGGAACCCTGATTAAGAAAGGCTAGGATAAAAGATGTCACCATTCATTTTTCTGTTCACAACATAAATTGTGTATTTAATTGACATCTTTCTCACTTGGGGTGTTTTGAGGAAAAGAGTAAATCCAAATTACAGCAGTTAATTTTTTTTTACCAAATTCTTGTGCAGTCCAGTTATTTAGCAAACATTAAGTTGAGTAAGACTAGAAGTGTTGATCTGAACTGCATTATTCACTATGAGTATAATCTCTTAATTTCCTGAGTGCATCCAAGTTAGCCATATGTGCATGTGTAGGTTTCTCCGTATATGCATATTATTATATATTGCATCATTTATGCAGAACACAGGGGCCACTTGAACAATGAGTGAGAGTCGAAACCTATGTAAGTTGCTACTCCCCACTAATGGAATTGTCTTTAATATTTTTATCCTTTAACTTGGCATGGTATTTTAAATATTTAAAATGGCTTCCCATTTCACTTATTCATTGCTGTCAAGTTGGAACTGACTCATAGCTGAGCCAGCAGGTTTTCAGAAACCGAATCAGAAGGAGGAAATTGTCTGTCCTTATCCCAAAGAGCAGCTGATAGATTCGAACTTCCCAAGTTTCAGTTGGCTCGCTACTCACGAGGTAACCCAAGCTCCTTGTGGGTTACCATAGTTTCTTAAAATTCCATCAAGGAACAAATGACCAGTATTACATTATGTTTTTTGCTTTTTACTGAAAGCAGTTTTTAGTGAAGGAGAAAATTAAACCATTGAGTTTCTGAGAACTTTGGGGCAGGAATGTGCTCCCAAGGATTACATACATGACATAATTTGTAATTTTACCTTGGAGATTGTTCACAGAGGATCTAAGATTTAAAATCCCTTTAAGAATATCAAGCTTAATGAAGTTAAAATATTTCTTAAGTGTTTTACTTTTATAACCCTTGACTAAGATGTGAGCTCTTATTTAATTAGTAATATTGGAGTGGTGTTGTTGTTGAGTACCTTTGAGTTGGAACTAACTTATAGCTGACCCGTCACCAGGTTTTCAGAGGCAGTAAATCATGTGGTAGGAGCAGCTGACAGATTAAAACCACATACCTTTGGGTTAGCAGTGTAGTTCCTTACCACTAAGCCACCAGTGCTCCATAATGTTGGAATGTAGATAAGGAAAAAGAAGCATAATTTGATTTTATTCATTCTTTATCTCTAACTGGATATTATCCTAAAGAAACATACTTAGTTCAGTAGCCCTGCTGACTTTTTAGTGTATAACATAACCAGTTGCTATCCAAAAAGTCAGCACTTTAAACCCACCAGCTGCCCATGGAAGAAAGGTAAGCATTCTCCTCCCATTACAATTTACACCTCAGAAACCTGGTCAAGAGTCTAAACGATTTGGAACCAGGTCCATGACAGTGAGTGTTTTGGTGGATATTCACCTAAAGAAATACACATTATTTTTAAAAATTCTGCTTTTTAGTTTTGAAGAACATTTTTTTTTTGTATAATTTTGTTAAACAGGTTGAATTAGTAAGGAGAGATTATGTTGCAAATGGTGGTTGGGAAACTTTCTTGTCATATGAAGACCCGGATCAAGACATTTTGATTGGCCTCCTCCGACTGCGCAAGTGTTCTGAGGAAACCTTCCGTTTTGAACTGGGTGGTGGTTCTTCCATAGTCCGAGAACTGCATGTGTATGGAAGTGTCGTTCCTGTGAACAGTCGGGATCCTACTAAATTTCAGCATCAGGTATATCCTGTATTCCATCTCTGCTCGATGTATAATTGAAAATATTCTTCTAAGTAGGAAAAGAGAAAAGGAATGAGGAGGAAAAGGAAAGAAACAGAAAAGAGGGCAGGAAGTATGCAATAGTGGAACAAATATTTGTTCAAAGATGCCACATTACACCCTTTGTGTGAGAGGATGAGGGGGGGAAACAGAGCTCAGTCAAGTAAAACATAATAGTAGAACGAACCATATGAAATTGCCATTTTTGGGACTTACAAAATGGTCTAATTTGCAATTTCATATGATTCAGCCTACGGTGAAAACAGTAGAGGTGGTAACATTAAAGCACTTTACAGATGTGAGCTGAGTTCTATAAAGTGGAGCCTTGCTCAATCCCCAAGCAGCCAAAATAGCAGGCTACTTTTTCAGGAATAGATGGGTTGAAACCAACTAATGATTGATGTGGGGAAAGACTCAAAATGATGATAAAAGAATTTTATCTGGTATCAAAAGCCTGATAGAAATTAGACGAGTATGATAAATTAGTATGTAAAAGATTAGATGCCCCAGACTGTCATCACGAGGAGATTGCATCTAAGTTCTACAATGAGACATGGAGAGGAAGGTATTCCCTTATGAGGAGATTACATCATCCATGCAGGACCCTTTGGTGGCTCCCTTGTAAAGTACATCTTTTTCAGTGTTCTGCTTATGGTATAATTGAAGTGTTTCTCCTTCCTTCCTCCCACAAATGGCTGTTCATCGCATTAACAGATTTGGGCAACTGCTCAAATATACCTGCCTTCTTGGGCCCTTGTTAATGAGCTTCTTTTCTTTCCTAATTCCTCACACCCCTCTGTTGCTTCTGATAGGGATTTGGCATGCTACTGATGGAGGAAGCAGAAAGAATAGCTAGAGAAGAACATGGATCTTCGAAAATGGCTGTCATTTCAGGTAATTGGAGGAGGGGAGAGTTTGTGATTCCTTTACCTGTTTAAGTTGGTCCCACGGTGGAATGTGCCTTGTTCTTCTCTTGCCCCTATTTATGACTCTGGCCTTCAAAAATAGTCAGAGCTGAATAGTTGAATAGTGAAGAATTTGTTCTTAAGCACAAAAAAAAAATTTGTGTGAGCATTTTGACATAGAACTTCCAGCTCTCTGAGAATAGTAGCCAGGCAGCTGACCCTCAGACAGATAATCTGAAACCTGTCTTTTCTGCCGCCTGTCATACTGGTCATCATGGGCCAACTCATCTTTGTGCTTTATGCTTTGTGCCTAAGGCCTCAGTCTGAGAAAATGGAATTTAATAATATAGATCAGTGAAAAATACATACCATGTGGAGATTATCACTATTGTTCAGAAAATTGAAATAACAATTCAGTGGCCAGCACTGGATGTTAGAAAAGAGGTTTTGCTTAGATCTCGTTCTCAGGGATTTTGTTCTTGGGGAGCAGCTCTCCCCAGTTTTGGAAGCTTCCTCATCCCTTATCTGGGACATCAGATAATTGGTGAAATGGGAAAGAAAAGGAAATTCTGGTACAAATAGAGGAAGAAATAATGTATTCATCCTTTCATGCCTACTCTTTCATATTACATCCTTATAAAAATTTATATTCTCAGTAGGAAGCTACCATGGGAAAAGTCATAAGCAATATTTAGGTTATTTTTTTCCTTCAGTATTTACTTATTTTCTTCCAGTTTATTTGCTAACCTGTTAGACTGTAAAGGCTAAACTAAGCTTCAGAATATAATCTTTTATGAAAACGAAAGTTGAAATGAAATCTCTTTCTAAAAAATCAGTAAATCAATTAGTAAATTGTTGCAAACCAATATGTCAATGCCCGTGCCCAAGTTTTAATGATTATAATTATGAAAATGTAATGATTCAGGCTCATTTAATCATTTAATATAAGTTTTAGCATTATTCACATAGATTAACTAGGCATTTCTTAACATAGCTAACTTGATAGGTCTTCTTTTATGTTTAGTAACAGTAAAGAAGAGTTAAATAAGGATCTCCTGGTTTCTCTAATTTTTTAAAAAATTTTTAAAGCTTGCCTATCAACTTTTGGCTTTCAGTTGACATAAACACCAGGAAATGGGCCAGGACTGACTTGGAATTTATTTTACACATGCATCTGTGTAGGGTGTTTGCTATTGTTGTTCGATCCTGTCAAGTCAGTTCCAATTTATAGAGACCCTGTATATAACAAAATAAAATGCTGCCCGATCCTGCGCCAACCTCACAATCATAGTTACATTTGAACCCATTGTTAGAACTCCTGTGTCAGTCCATGTCATTATCATCTGCTTTTTTTCTCACCCTTTGCATTTCTAGACTTGATGTTCTTCTCCAGGGACTGGGTACTCATAAAAACATGTCCACAGTATATGCAATGAAGGGTTGCTGTCATGTGGAATTTCATTCAACCTGAATTTTCTGTGTGAGCATCTATGAGTGTTTCCAGTAGACTAAAACCATTCTGAATAATGGCAACGCCATTATGTTTCACAGTAGAAATGTGAGTAGGGTTTCCAGTGACTGTGACCTCCTTGTAAATTGCCTAAACTTTCTTCTAAATCACTAACTTTTTTATTTGGAACTGGCTATTGAAATGTTTGTGTGTTTGTGTCACCCATTGACTCTGTTTTCAGTATTGTTGCTGTTGATTGTTGTTGAGTCAAGCACGACTCATAGCGACCCTATGAACAAAAGGCCCAAAGCCATTCTATAACTATCATCATTTATCAAAGTTCATGGAGTTTCCAGAGGCATGTTATTTAGGAAGTGGATGCCACTCTCGCAAATATAAATGCACTGCTAGCAACCTTGTTAAAATGAAAGTTCTGATTCGTCAGGGCTGGGCTGGGGCCTGAGCTCCTGTATTTCTAGCTCACTCCCAAATGTTATCTGATGCTGCCCATCTTCAGACCACACACCAAATATAAATTTGTGGAAGCTGGTTTTCTTGGTTTGGTTCCACCCCAACTTCCACCTTCACCACCCCCCTCCCCAACCCAGTTAAAAGAAAAACACATCTCTGTATCGTATTTGAGGATTTAGTATTCTTTCCCAAATCATTAAGGTAATGATAGCTCTCTGTGACTGCCAGTGCCTTCGCTGCCAGTTTCTTATGTGCAATCAAGTGATTATCTGGTGTCTGTGTCGACATAATGAATTTTAAAGCTGATGAGCATCGGTATTCTATCACAGCTCTCTATATTATTTCATTTGCCTGGATGCCATCCATCTCCTTTTAGAAATACTGCCTGCAGAGAGGCCCTCTGACTTGCCTGAGGTCACACTCAGTTGCTCACAGGAGCTCAAATTGCAGCTTTGTAAGAGTGGGGTGCTTTCTAAGTGGAAATCAGCATCTGTCCCGTTTCTAGCTTTTTATTATAATCTAAATAATAGCTCAGTTTCCAATCATCTGCTTGAAGAGTTACTTTTTAAAATAATAAGTAGGAAGCTTGCTCAAAGTAACAAGGAAGAACCTTTCTTCTGTCTGCTGGTATAATACATGCACACAATTTTTATTGAGATTTATTCTGACCAGAGGATTTCCATAGGGCGAACCTCGTATGCTTTCTTGGAACTAAAGTGAGTTTTGATGACAGAAAAATGTGCTGCTCCTTGCCAAATCTTGCTTGTAAACTCTGCTGTAGCGCTCTATAGAAGAAACCACCTAGGTTCCAGGGTGGTTTGACTCAAGCTCTGGTCACCCTTCAAATGGAAAAAAAACACACCAAAAACACAACAAACAGTAATATATGAAATTGCCAGTAGATTATTTCTTTGAGTTAGTAATATACTACAGTTCTGTTTTTCTTTCTGAATCAGACACCTGAAATGTCTGCTGTTAAGACCTCCAAGAACAGATTTAAAATGTGTCTGAAAAGAATACATTGTTATGAGGTGGAGTTTTGAATTTTTATTTTTCCCCCATCTCATTTTAATTGTGGTCTTTCCGATTTGAGAACAATGATGGGGTTGTTTGTTTGTTTTTGTTTTTTAAAAGTCTTTTCCATGAATTAATATTTAGAATGAAAATCCTCTCTGTGTGTGCTGCATTTCCCTCAAACCCTTTATGAGACGTGACACACAAGAAGCAACACTGCTTGGGAGCCAATTGGCCAGGATTTCATTCCTCCTTTGCTAGTAGTTCTCTTTGTGATCTTGATAATTTTACTTGATATCTATTGACTTTTATCTCCATATTTAAAAACATGTGGGTTAGATGGCCATTTCTAATTCTGACAGTATAGGATTCTGCCCCTTACTATTTCAGCTCCGTTTACTTCCTCATGTGGTTTGTATTTCACTGGTTATATTTCAGGTAGATTTCCTTTTCTGAAAGTCCATCCTTTCATTGGTCCCAGTCCCATTCATTGTAGGTTGGCTGTTTGACAATGAAAATTATAGTGATAAACTTTCCATGATGGCTAATCCAGTTCATGATTTGTATGTACTTACTGCCTTCAGTCACAGCAGGCTGTATTTTGTAAGCTAAGCATCATAGGAGGTATTTTCCCTGACCTTGTTCTTGATTTGTAAGTCCATCCTTATTTAGAATTTATAGACCTTTATGTAAATCATACTTAGGGCTCAGATATTCTCTCCTAGCATAACTAGTAATTTGAGTAAGAGAGTGACAAAATAATTTATCATTTTCGTTACTGTGACTGTAAAATTAATGTATTTACAAAGGTTTCTGTTGTGGTTTGTGTTTTTTTTTTAAAAAATTACATTCTGATTCATCATGACTTTCCTTCATCTTGCCAGCAAATTTCCCAAGGTTACTTGGATTCATAATCAAAGTTGACCTCAGTATGTTGTGTTTATAGGAAGTATACTTTGTATATTTGTAGCCGAATTAGCTTTTTAAAAATAATGCCTTTGCTTATATATCCAAAGCACTAGAAAATTGATACGCAAACTGATAATGATTGTTCATATTCCCAAAACCAAAAGGTGGAAACAAGTATCTTTCAACAGATATAAATGGGTAAACAAAATGTGCCATATACATACAGTGGAGTATTATTCAGCCAACCGGAGGAAATAGTTTCTAGTGCAAACTGCAACATAAATGAACATTGGAAACATTTTGCTGAGTGAAAGAAGACAGACACAGAAGGACAAAATTGTGTTTTCTCATTTATGTGAAATATCTAGAATAGACAGATTCAAAGAGACAAAAGGTTTTTAGTGGCTACCAGGGGCTGACAGGAATAGAGAGTTATTATTAAGAGATACTGGGTTTCTGTTTTCAGGAAAACTTGGAAGTGGATAATGACAATTGATTATACATCATGGTGCAATGATGTGGCTGAATTGTACACTTAAAATTAGTAAAAATGACAATATTTTGTTATTTATGTTATTATTACATGAAAAAACTACTTTTTAATAACTACATGAGAAAATTGATAGCTTCTTTATCTGTGTCAAATTAAGGATTTTCTCAGAAACATGGGCTTTTAATTATTCAGTCTATTTTTCAAAGCACATATAATTGCATTAGTAAGTAAGTTGTGTTTTAAAGTTTTTCCTGTCAATTCTAACTTAAAAATAAAATAAAGCAAAGATAAAATACGTAGCTTGGTCAATACCAAATTCAGTGAGAATGTATGGAGTATTTCATGAGTGCAAGGGACCACACCTAAGGAGAGAAATAGGCAAGGATGAGATGCTGGCCCTGCATTTGAGCAATTTTCATGGTGGGCTGAATAGTAGCCCTTTAATTGTCCAAAACTAAGAAGAAAGATGATTTCCCACCACCACTGCCATTTAGGTTATTTCTCAACTTAAGAGTAATTGCTTCATGGTAAAGAAAGACTTATTTTACATATAAGAATGAATGTGTCAGGCGATGTAATCTGTAGCATGTTAACTGCTAACGCAAAGGCTGTGTGTCTCCAGAACCCTCCAGAGACTGTGAGGGAGAAAGAT